GGTCTCTCACCTTCTCTTAGGTCTGTCCTTCCTTTGTTTAGACCGGCAGTGGTCAGCCGGTGTGCCGCAAGGATGTCTGAAACACGCACGGCCTGACTACAGTCGGGGCATTGCCCTCTTTCCCGAGACTGTCAAATGAGAACACGACAGCAGCCAGCCCTGTAGCCACCCAGTGTGAAGGAATCAGTATTATACCTATTTCTTTTGCCAGATTGGCAAAAAAAAATAGATTTTTTTGGGTGTGCCGAAGAATTTTAGCAGTTAGTTTATGTGTGCCAGTAGGCGACAAAGGCTGGAAATCGCTGCTCTAAACCAGGGGCTCCTTCTCGGGCCTCTTGCCAGCACCTTTGCACAAGACAGAGTATTCTGCCCCATGTTCTGTTCCCCCGATCACTGTGACTGAACCGCCACGCAGCCCGAGCAGCAGGTGGCTGAGGAAGGGAAGAGCTGGTGCTCCTCATGTATGGTGAGGGCTGTGTCCGTGTGGAGCAGGGTCATCTCGTCACTTCAGGTCGGTCTTGTCTTCCTGATACACGTGGGAAGCAAGAGGGGGAGTTGAGTGTTTTCCCGTTTCCGAGAACTTTGTGAAGTATGCCCTAGTTCTGTGCAGGGTGCTCGGAGAACGTTGCCGAGGGCACGTGCTCACTTTACAGGGAGTTCTGTGACCAGAGGAAAGGAGCTCCGTTTCCCAGTGTTTTCTCTGATGCTCATTGGCATTGCTGTGCACATGTGCTTTGGTGGGAGGGAAACCATTATTTTTAGGAAAATGTTCAACGGACCATGTTTCAGAGACAATTATTATGTCTACTGTTGTTCATCTTGAGAGTCTGCAAACATGGACCAAGTTCAGCAAAGCTTTGGGGGAGGCCAGAGGCCTGCTGCAAACCCTCAGGATCTGCTGCCCTGGGTCCCGGGCCCAGAGGTTGCAGTGGCTGCTGCCGCCGCAGCAGGGGGCAGCGTGGCCCAACGGAGGCGGCACGCACGGGCATACCAGGGACACCCACCGATGGCCCAGGAACGAGCCGTCCTATCTCACCATCGCCCTCCAGCAGTCTGCAGTGGGAGCTGCAGTCTGGGCCCTGAGTCTCAGGCAGCCTGAGGGCGTAGGCAGCAGGCGCGGCCTCTGGACCTGGGCAGACCTGTGCGCGTCCTTGTCCCACGTCACATCTTGGTAGCTGCGAGCTGTGCGACCTTCAGCAGGGTGTGTACTCTCAGGACCTCGTACCCTGTCTGCGGAATGGGGATCCTGTCTCCGCTGGGTCCGCTGAGGGCGGAGCGGTGTATGCGTGTGCCCACCGGTTCTGAGCACCCAAAGGCCCCGGAAAGATTGCTGTGGCTGGGCAGCAGGGAAGCTCTTCGTGCTCGGCGTCCTGGGGTGGCAGCTGTCGTGAGCAAAGACTACGGCCCGTGTCACCTGGGGGCCCCGAGGCTCCCCCTGGAGCCGCTGGCAAGGCAGGCGCAGTGGCGTGGGCTCCTCAGGCTCCGCGCGAGAAAGCCGGGTCCTTGGGAGCGAGCAGTATTCGTTTAGATGTTTGCCGCTGCAGGTCGGAGCCGCAGACCGAGGCCAGAAGTCCTGTGTTCTGTAGCCCCCCCCCCCCCCCCGCTTAGCTCTTCTTCAGCGGTTTATACTTCAGTCCTTGATATCTCACCAGTTCTTTTTCATTCCTTCATTTACTCATGTTTGTGTATTCCTTCTTCCATTCAGTAGCCATTTCCTACGCCTCTGATGTCCTGCAGATGCCCTGCTAGGTACCAGGGTACGGAGAAGAGGCCCTCGTGCTCCCAGCACCCAGCCGTTTGCAGACCAGTGTCCCTACCCCACCCACTGCATCGTCACCCTGCACCCTCACGCCGCTTCTCTCCACCCAGCTCTGGGGCCGCTGAGCCTGCTCACTGCCGGGCACCGAGGCGTGCAGCGCACACCGGCTTCGTGTGCTCGCGGCGGCAGGAGGAACAGCGGGAAGACCCGAAGCTGCCACCTGGCGCAGGGAGGCGGGCCCAGCACGCGTGTGGACGGCCCCTGGGCCCCTGCTTCTGCCCGCGGCCCTCCAGGCGGGCGCAGAGCGGCGCTGAGGCATGCAGATACACAGATGACAGCCGCTTGTTTCATTTCTCCGGGCCAGGCGTTTGGAGAGTAGCTCTGTGCTTTGTTGGGAAGACTGCAAGTTTTCAGACCAGAAACACTGTCGTTCAGAATCCATGCTAACCCACGCGCCAGACCAAATAGGGGTGCCTTGGGACTCTTTCCCGTTGTAGGTGTGTTTGTTTTTTCCTGCATCTCAGTGAAGTTAGATATTGTGAGGAGACTGTAATCTGATTTACCTGTTCATAATCAAGACATGAAGTGGGGCACCTCCTCGAGCCCCAAGATTGCACTGGGCCAGGCCAGGGAGGATAACCATGGTTGGAATAAAGAAACACCAGTGACTATTGAGGCCCATGAAAGAGTTAGTCCTCACAGCAGCCCCTCAAAGTCGTCATTACCACCCCCGTCTGGAAGGAGATAAAGGCTCGGCGAAGGGGCGACCCCCAGCCTCCTCAGCCAGGTGTGTGGCAGGGCCAGGTTTGGCCTCCGTTCCGACTGGCTGCGGAGCCTGTCCCTGCCACACCATGTTGGTTCCATTTCATTAGAGGACTTTCCTACAAGCTCATGGCCGAGCCTGCAGGAAGGAGGAAGGGGATGGGGACGTGCCTGCGGCAGGGTAGGGTATGGGTGACTCTGGACCAAGCTGTGTGACCCCCCACCAGGTGGTCCCTCCCAAGTTGGGCACAGTAGCTGCCAAGGATAACACGCGGGGATGTGTTTCGGACCCAGGCCTGAGATTGTAGCATGGGTTGGGCACATTGAAGATGGGCATCTCGGCATCCCTGTAACAGTGCAGGAAGTGAGCAGAAGCTGGGGGCGTGGGGGCCCCACTCAGGCAGTGTCCCTTGCACAAGATACATACCGATGGCGCGTTGTGACTCGGGCTGGGTGGGCTGGTGGAGCTGCTGGGAGCTCTGTCCTGCGTCTCACTCGTTCACGTTGTCAACCACAGAGCCCCAGCCTCCGGTGCGCACATCACCTGCGACAGGGTCTGCCCTGCCCAGGGACGGGTCTTCTCCAGAGGCACTGGCCCCACGGTTCAGCGGTGTCCCCACACCCGCTACAACCATGAGGAAGAACTCGAAGCGTGCTGCTGTGTCGTACCATCCTGCTCACTCATTTCCATTTTTCTGGAAGAGTAAAAAAGAAAAAAAAATCATCCATTTTAGCTAACTTTATTTTTAGAAAAGTCTTTTATTCAAACATCCCCTTACTTATTACAGACATAAATACATGCATCCAGACAAATGAATCCACGGGAGAACCGTAGAAAGTAATTGGCACATCACTTCAGGATGCTTTGTCAGTTACTGGAGGACTTGGGTACCTCTAACTTCCATCTTTTCCATTAAAATATCCATTCTGCCTTCACACTGTGAAGCCTGCAGTATTTTAGACTGTCTCCGCGGATCTGTTAGTTTTGCTTGTCAATTTAATTTGTGGCTCTATGACTGTGGGTGGCTTGTTAGATTGTACATAGAAACACGTGATCTGCAAATGATCTCAGCATCAGGCTGAAGACCTCGCCTCTCCCCAGGGACACTGGACATGCAGTCAGTCCGGGATTGGCAGGTTGCCTTTGCAACCAGCCTAAGGGTGATGATGATGATGATGGTGATGTATGTATGCATGCAATGGCGGATGTTTAGAGCTACAGAGAAGCTCATTACCTTTGTGATTATACACCTTAAGTGTTTGTAGCACTTTCTATTCTTTGCACTTCTTATAACCACCATCTCATGTGATCCTCAGAGCTTCCTTGTGCTGGATTATTATTGTCCTCTTTATAGCTAATGAAACTGAGACACAGAGAGAGGGGGCCCAGTAACTTGCTTGAGATCACAGAGTAAATTGGATTGCAAAAATGCCAGAGGATAGAACCAAGTACCACCAAAGCCCAGGCAGGGGATGTGTGTGGTGGCCCTGGCCACATAATTGCCATTTCCCTGCCCTCCTTGAGGAAGGGGACCCTGAAGCTGTGGAAACGGGCTGGGAGTGGGAGGCAGAGTCCAGGAGCAGAAGTGTCGGCTCCACGTGCATGGCCACAGCTCACTGTACCATGTGCTGGGCCTGCAGCAGCCGTGTCCCTGGCCTCCCTCCCGTGATGTCACCTGCACGGTACATGTGCTGCATGTCCCCACACACATCTGAGCATGTCTCTCATTTGCTACAAACCCATGACTGGCTCCCATTGCCATCAGGATGAAGTCTAGACTTTTCAGCATGGTTTTCCCACCTGGCACTGGTCTTGCTTCTAGCCCACCTCTCTCCTGCCACACCGAGTTCCGTACCATCACAGAAACGCCGTGTGCGTCCCCAACCTCCTTGGCTGTTTCTCTGTGGGACACGTTTGTGATGAAGTCCATGAACATTGCCTTCTCTGCAGAGTCTCCCCTGACTTCTCCAGGACCCGGAAGCATCCCTCCCTCCCGCATGCCCACAGCACTGTGCCCACCCAGCCCTATTTCCGTGTCCTGGGTGGTCTGGCCCGGGAGCTCCTAGCTAGCTCCTCGACGGCAGAGGCTATGATGGATGCCTGTGCTCTTTCCTCCCCTCGGTGTCTGGCAGACTTTGAATTTAAGAGAATGGATAAGGATGTATAAGTAGGAGTGAGGTGAGTGGGTGAGTGAATGAATTAGTGAATGAAGAACGACTGAAAGCCTCTAGCGGCCTGAGCCAGCAGGGTGGTGCAGGTTACGTGGGGGAGTCCCATTCCCCCTCTGCCTGAGATGTTTCCCTCCATAGCTGACCTCTGTGGTGAGATGAGAGGACGGAGGTGAGCTGAGCTGCCTGGTGATCGAGCACAGAGGGCAAGTGCAGCAGGGTTGAGAGGCAGGGACCGATCCAGCAAGACCCGAGGGCAGAGGGACTCTGGGCCAAAGCATCAGTGTCTCCCTGTGACTCTGTCTTCTAGATGATGTCTGTCCTCATGAACACCATCGTCTTTGAAGACTGTCGGAACCAGTGGTCAGTATCCAGGCCTCTCCTGGGGCTGATCCTGCTCCATGAGAAGGTGAGTGACTGCAGCGAGGCCCACGGAGGCGGTCACTGGGAGGCAGAGGAGCCACAGGCCAGGCTGCGCTGTGACGATGCAGGGGGACCCCTGAGCTGCAGCTGGGGCCGTGGGCCTCCAGGGGCCTCCAGACTAGCTCTTCTGGAACCCAGAGCTCCCACTCACTGGGCGGGTGGTTTGCTTCAAGTTCACCCTCATCTCCTCCCCGTTCCTGGAGGATTCTGAGCAATCATCCCTTTGCTCCTTCCTTGTCCTCCTTTCAAATCTGGGGTCCCTACAGCCCCAAATGGTAGCAGCAGCCCCTCGGGGCCAAGCGCCGGGCCAGCACCCTCACCTGCCGTGCACGCCTGCCCTGGGCTGCCTCCCAGGCTCCCGCTTCCCCTGCAGCCGCCGCAGGAACGGTGCATTACTGCTCGGGAGAATGAATTGTCTATACAATAAGATAGTACTGGGGAGAAGACAGTGAGATTAGAGGCAGCCGCATACATTAAAATTCAAACTGAAATCCCAGCCTCGGAAGGAAACTAATAGAAGAAGAAAATATATCAAAAAGAGAAGATCTGCCTCATCCTTCACCTGTGCTGAAGTATCCAATTTTAGCCACATTCCGCAGCACCGCTATCCATCTTCCCTGGGCGGCACTGTGATTTAAATCCGAGCTCTATAAAAGAGAGCAGTTCTTTTAAAATGATTGAGAGGGAATAAGGGCAAATTCAGTGTTTAGAAAAAGCTTATGACATCACAATATTATACTTTACTGATGGAGGCAATATTTCATGGTTTGGGATGAAAAACTAATAATTTTCTATTTGGTGTGAGTCACTGCATCATTATAAAAGGGGAAAATAAGTAGTTCTGTGCATTCCCAGTCTTGTTCAGAAAGACATTGAGCTTTAAGTCTAGCCTCTGATATATAGTATTTAAGTATTAGTCTGACTCCATATTAATTATGTGTGTTTTTGATGTGAGCTGTTTTAATGTATGATGCAAATTAAAGATCGTGCTCTTTGGGGCTGGAAGGATAAACACGAGCCTGGCAAAGCGTTGTCTCTGGCTGAGATGAGCTGTTTCAGTGATTAGGGCTGCATGTCACATAAGAGCTTGTGTTTGTGCAGAAGCCCAGGCCCCAGCGGAGGGGAAGGGGCTTTTCGGTTCTTTGTGACCAATATGACAGATATTGTTCTTAGTGGCAGAAAGTTCTCCCGGAGCTGAGCCAGCGGCTCCTTAGCGCCCACCTCAGCAGGCAGAGCGTCCTGACCCGGAGACGGGCCATGGAGCAAAGTCTGGAGTTTGAGGGGTGACCCACGAGAGCGTGAGGGGTGGGAGCCGGGGCCTTCCTGCAGTGGCCCAGCATGCTCCCTGGCTCCTTGGGTCCCGCTCTTCCCCTCAGCCTTTCCATAGTCAGTGGAGAGGAGTCGGGGAGACCTCCGTGTGCTCGGCCCGAGGAAGCAAGGACTGCGTCAGCCTGAAGTGCGCAGTGGCAGCAGAACTGTTAGAGCTGGAGGTGTTGGGGGGGGGGGGGGGCGTCATTTATGCCCAGGAAGCCTCGTTGCTTTAGTTTGCTCTCAAGGCTCAAGTTCAGAGTGGACCTGGACCAAGGCTCCTCTGAACTCAGAGCCCTGAGCAGACTGGCCTGGGCTGGCCTCTCCTCGGCCCAGCTCGGAGTCAGAGCCCTGCCACCTGTCCGTCTCCCCACAGCATTTCAGTGAGCTGCGCGCGGGTCTGATAAGCAGCCAGCCTCTCCCCAAGCAGGAGGTCCTCGCCCAGTGCTTCAGGAACCTGATGGAGGGGGTGGAGCAGAGCCTGTCCGTCAAGAACAGAGACAGGTAAGCAGTGCCTGGGAGGCTGGCATCTGTGCGGGAGGCGGCGTTCGAACTGGACTGTGCTTCACACAGCTCCCACACTGACGTGGCTTTTCCGCCCCTCCCCGCCCCCGTAACCCTGGACCATTCCTTCCATCCGCATGCCGCGGGCCGCACAGGGGTGCAGAGAGGATGAGTGCCGCTCCCCTCCGCTGGGCCCCAGGAGAGAGGAAGAGTCACTCGAGAAAGGTCGGAAAGCTGAGGCGTGCTGCCAGGGCAAGGGAAGGCTTGCGGCTCGCGAACAAACTCAGGCCTGGGGGGCGGGCAGGTCGGGCAGACTCCAGCTCCGGCTCTTCCTGACCCGTGCGGCTGCGCGGCCGTGGGCAAGGCAGCAGCCCCCACCCTCGGGCTTCCAGGGAAGCGGAGCCCACACAGCCGCTGTGATGTTTGAATGACAGGCTGCAGTGAGCACGGTGCCAGGGCAGGTGGCCCGCAGCGCATATCAGTTCCTCTGCCTGACCTTTAAGAGTGGCTGGTTTAAAGATAGGCCCGGCTCGCGTAGCTCAGTGGATTGAGCATCGTCCCGTGCGACAAGAGGTCACTGGTTTGATTCCTGGTCATGGCACATGCCCAGGTTGCAGGCTTGGTCCCCTACAGGCTCATTCCCCAGTAGGGCGCACACAGGAGGCAGCCAATTGATGTTTCTCTCTCATCAATGTTTCTGTCTCTCTTTTCCTCTTCCTCTCTTTCTAAAAAAAAATCAATAAAAATATACCTAAAAATAATAAAATAAAAATAAGAGGCAGTGGGTGACTGGTTTTGCCAGAACAGAGACAGGTAAGTTACCAATGGGCTATAAGAACGAGGAACCTGCCCTGGCTGGTTTGGCTCAGCGGTTGGAGCGTCGGCCTGCGGTCCGGAGAGACCCGGGTTCGGTTCCCGCTAAGGGCGCGTACCTCGGTTGCAGTTTGTCCCCGGCCCTGGTTGGTTGTGCGGGTGGCAGCCACTCGATGTGTTTCTCTCTCTCTCTGTTCCTCTCTCTCCCTCCCACTCTACCTGAACAAAAAATGGAAAAATGTCCTCGGGTGAGGATAAAAAAATATAAAAAAGAACGAGGAACCCGCCCTGGCGGTTTCTCAGTGGTTAGAGCATCGGCCTGCGGACCAGAGTCCCAGGTTCAGTCCCTGCTAAGGGCACGTACCTTGGTTGTAGTTTGTCCCCAGCCCCGGTTGGGGTCATGTGGGTGGCGTTTGTCCCCAGCCCCGGTTGGGGTCGTGTGGGTGGCAACCAATTGATGTGTCTCTCTCACATTGATATTTCTCCCCCACCCCACCCCAATCTGAAGATAAATGCAAAAATGTCTTCGGGTGAAGATTAAAAAAAAAAAAAAAAACGAGGAACCTGATCTTATCCGTTATACCTGAATTCATCCATTCATTCCCTCATTCATCCAGTGCACAACATTTTATTGAGACTCTGCTCTGTGCCAGGCAGTGGGGATACCAGTGGTGAACCTATCGCTCAGGGTTTTCGCCCTCGTGGAGCTTCTGGTGGAGAAGACAGACAGTAGGAGTGATGGAGAAAGCAAATGTTTCAGAGTGAGAACGGCCTGCACCATCCTTCTGTTGAGGTGTGAAGGGCTGCACCTTCTGAAATGCAAATCGCAGTCGTCCCAGCAGCCACACCTTGTGGTGGAGTCCCCTGCCTGCGCGCCGATACAGGGCCAAGTCCCTGGGCTCTGCGGACACGGTCCCTCCTTCAGGCCCAGATCCCTAGGAGGCAGAAGGAGCAACCTGCAAAACCAGCTGAAGAGACACCCGGCTGGGCAGCCCTCGGTGCCCCCAGGGAAACCCTTCCCCTGAGGCTGGGGCATTTGAGTGCCACTCCGAGCCTCCCTCCCCCTCCGTGAAGCGGCAGCCCTGGCTCCCAGGTGTCCTGGCCGGCAAGGACTGGCTGCCCCCGCTGCCCGGCACTCTACTGAGCACTCTCAGTTGACTCAATAAATCCCCACTTCCCACAGTCCCGCGGGGCAGCTGCTCTTATCGGGCACCAGTGCTCATCCGAGGTCACCCAGCTAAGAAGGGGTGGAGCAGGATTTGAACCCAGGGAGTCCAACTCAGTGCCTCCTCTTTGGAAGCTCGAAGTTCACTTCTCCCACTGTGGGAGGACTTGTGATGACTGAGTGAACTTCTGTGTGAACTCAGCCCAGTGCCTGGCACACCAGCTTCAGGTCTTCTCTTTATATTCTGTACCTTTATTGTGCAATTTGACTTTTTGAAAAACAATTTTTAAATCGTGTTGCCACCAAATGCATCCCTCAAAATGGTCAGTGTTTTGGGTGGTGCCCCTGTTTTCAGGGAGGGGAGGGGTGCGGGTAGAGAAAGGGGGAGCGAGGCCCTCAGCCGAGCCCAAGGCCCTCTCCAGGGTCCTGAACTCCACGCGGCTTTACCGCCCAGATGCTCTGCTGCCAGCCTTGCCGCTGCCCTTGGCCCTTTCTTCCTCTCTCCACAGGTTCACCCAGAACCTGTCCGTGTTCAGAAGAGACGTGGCCGAGGCCCTGCGCAGCGATGGCAGCGCCGAGTCGTGCAGTCTGGACATGATGAGCTGACACCGCTCCCCGACCTCGTGCGAGCAGCCTTTCCCCAGAGACTGGGTCTGGGCCCCAGGACAGCGGCGCTGGCGAGCCCAGGGAAATCTATTTTTCAAAACAAACAAACAACAAAAGCCCTACCTTTTTATAAGTCTGGCCTAATTATAAGAATTTATAATAGTGCACAAACATGTAAATTCATTCTTTGCTCTGAAAAAGCAAGTGTTTTCAGTCTTTCTATAAAATATCATTATCTTTGTTCTTATAATGCTCCGAAAGGGTGTAGAAACGAAATTTAACCAAAGAACATAATAAAGCAGGTTTGCGCCTAAGTGTGGACTGTCACTGGCCCTGCAGCCGGGAAGAGGATTTGTTGGAGCCGCAGCCTTCAGCGTGGGTCCGGCAGGGACAGCACCTCCCGGTCTGGTCCGTCAGCACCTCGTCGTGAGTCTGGGCAGCAGGGGGCCCCGCTGAGCCGGGCGCCGGGAACGCGCTGGGAGCTCTCGGAAGCCACCACGGGACGCATGGCCCTCTCCGCCCCAGCAGCATCTGATAAAGTTGAGAGACAGTAACACAATTAAATGACTTACAAACAACATTTGCTTTTCACTGGCATAAATCTCAAGTGGTTCAGTCTAGAAGAATTAAGCTGTGCAGTTACTGCCAGCAGAGATGTCTTCAGGAGCCGGGTGGCCCAGTCACATCTCCCGGGTGGGCCGGCCCCCAGTCCTTCTGCCTCCGTTTTATCTTTAAGAAGCCGGAGGTGTCTGATTAAAATCTGTATTCGAAGCAGCTCTGCCTTCTTGGGCATCCGAAACGGTTCTAGAAACCAAAGTTCAGATTTTCAGAGGATGAGGAATAGTTGGTTTCCATCCCTCCACAGAAACCAATGACCGTGGGGGTTGCAGCTGACCCCCCCCCCGCCCCAGGCCACGAAGGAGGCCTGTTAGGTTTGTCAGGGACTGTGCCGAGGCTGTTAATTTGAGGTTGCCACTGTCAGGCAGCTTCGAGTCTCTGTCATCCCCGGGGTTCAGGCATGTGATACGTATTGTGCTCGCTCTTCTGATGAGACCTGAAGGTTGGCCTTCCCGGTGAGGGGGGAGAACACCCACAGGCTCCTGCTGTAATCTTGTTGCTCAGACCAGTGTCTCCTGAAACCTCTCTCGACAGTGGAATTTCGTAACAGGCTTGTCACATGAAAGCAGAGTCCCCCAAGCTCATCTCAAAGTATTTGTCTTCCATGCGTGAACCAGGACGTCAGGTTGCAGCGGGGTCCTTCCTGGTATTAGCAGATGAGTGAGTCTTGGCCATGCACTGTGCTCAGCAGCAGCGAGGAGAGCGACTGTCCTGCAGGCGGCTCTGACCTGGAGCAGTCTGGCGGGAGAGGCTCTGGGTCTCGGCTCCGTAGCTCATCCCACAGCAGTGCTTCGGGGGGCCCAGCCCGGTCCAGCCCCGGTTTACGGAGTCGAGGACCTAACAGCACAATGTCACCTACAGTTAAATTCTCACAAGAAGTTAACAGCGTACGCTTGCTTTTCTTGGCCATGCAGCCAAAGGTCACCTGGTTTCACACGGGCCAGGAGAGCGGCGCTCGGGGGACTCGGAGGCCTGGTCCTCTGTGGACCCCGGCAGGGCCGCCCGTGGGCCGGGTGCAGGGAGCACACCGCAAGGCAGCGCGTGCAGGTGGAGAGCGCACTGGGCAAACGATCACCGCGTCTGTGCCCGTGACCTGTATCCGGCTTAGTCCTCGCAGCAGCCCCCGGGGTCGGCAGCATTATTCCCACGTTAGAGAGCAGGGAATGAAGACAGTTTATAGCTAACACAGCTCGCACAGGGTTTGAACCCAGATCCATCTCGCCTCAAAGGATTCCCAGGGTCTTCCGAGGAACACGTATTTGAGAATGGTGAGCTGAAACCTGTGAATATTGGCACCCACTCCCAAATCCCTGCAGAACTCTTCTGCTGCAGAGCATCCCCGGGACGGCAGTGGCTCAGACTGTCTCGGGTCCTGTGCTCCAGGGTCTCACGGCTGCAGTCGCCACACGGCTCCACGGCAGGATCTGCTTCTGCGATCATTGATCGTCCGTGGCTGTGAGCAGGAGTGAGCTCCTCACGGATGGATGGGCGGACCGAGAGCCCCTTGCCGAACAGGCCTCTCCCGGGGCAGCTTCCGGCCGGCGGCAGGCTTTGTCAGAGCAAGCGACAGAAGAGCCAGAGAGCAGCAGCCTGGAGTCGCAGCCCCTTGTCCCCAGGCTCACAAGGGGCGCCCATCACTCCTGCTGTATCTGTTCCTAAAACCACTAGGATCGGCTCACACCCACGCTGGGGGACTGCACAGGGCGTGGGCACCAGGAGGCAGGCATCTTGGGGGGTCATTTGCTAAACTTGCCAAGGGAAGAAAAGGGAGTGGGGAAGCTGGGACAGGAGCCCATGCTGTGTACTCACCCCCCCTCCCCCGACCAACGGGACTCTGCCTTGGAACTGCGCCTCCACACACACACACACACACACACACACACACACACAGCTGCCAGAGGCCATGGGGACTCGGGGAAAACCTGGAGGCCCTTAGGGGAGTTCTCTGCGGGGACATGGTATTCCAAGGATAAAACAAGCATTCAAGGGCACAGCCAAACTCGCGGAGCCTCCAAAAAGAGCACTAGCTGATCTGTTACGTGCTCTAATCAGATCAGAGGTGTAGCTGACGTACTCAGATTCAGGACAGGAAGGAATAAGCGTGCGGGCAGTTCCGCGGGGCCCACCACGTAGCACGCAGATGGCCCAAAGTGAGGGTGAGCTGGGGGCCGTGGGCCTCTGCAGGTACACCTCGTCCTGACGCCATTCTGGTGTGCGGACGCGTGTCCATGCAGCGTGGCTGCGTCAAGCAACTGCTTCCGCTGATGCTCAAGAATAAACAGTTGGAAGGTATTTTGACTCGGCTCATGTTTTGCCTTCTACATTGACTTCAGATCTTAACCCTGGAGAAAGCTATATTCTAGACGCTTCTGTTCTCCTTGGCTTCCCAATCAGGTTTCTCTGGATGGGGGCAGAGAGGGAGCACAGGGCCCCACACTGCGTGGTGGGCCGAGCAGCCCAGAGAGCCCTCTGGGCGTGGCCCCCGAGCCCCTTCCACCCTCAGCGTCCAGTGGCGCCTCGTGGTGCCTTTGCACTCGGGTACCGGGGGCCCTTAGCCGAGATGGGTGACGAGATTAACTGCCAGTGGAGAGCTGAGCATGAGAACAAAGAGCAGGGTGGGCTTTGCTGAGAGAAACTGGGGACCCCTGTGTATGTAGAGCTTGGGGAAGTGGCATCGCAGAGATCTCGGCACACCTGGCACCTGGTAACCACTATTATTATTGAGCACACCTACCTAGTCAAGTGCTTCCCAACAACGTCAAGTAAGTAGTAGTATCCCCATTTTATTTATTTTTAAAAATATGTTTCTTTATTGATTTTTTGAGAGAGAGAGGGAAGGAAGGGAGAGAGAAATAGAAACATCGATGAGAGAGAATGTCAGCTGGCCGCCTCCTGCCTGTCCCCCACTGGGGATCGGTCCACAACCTGGGTATGTGCCCTGACCAGGAATTGAACCAGCGACCTCCTGCTGCATGGGTCAGTGCTCAACCACTGAGCCACACCGGCCTGGCGATTATCTCCATTTTAGAGATCAGAAAACTGAGTCTGAAAGTCCGACCTGGGGCCACATAGCTAGAAAGTGGACAAGCCAGGATTCAAAGTCAGGTCGGCTTGACTCCAAAACTCCTGTTTCTTTTCCCCCTTAATCCCCTAAACTAGGTCCTCTCAGCCAGGCTCTGGGGACAGTGGGGCAGGAGGGTGCATCTGGAACCCTTCAGCACCCCCGGATAGGGCTGCCCTCCCCCCGAAAGAGAGGCCAGTCCAGTACCCGGGCCTCTGCTGTGTTGTGTCTTACGGGTTCTCCACCGATGCCTCCTCCTCCATGAACTTTATAAAATCATTCTTGAGACTTTTTAATGTTTTATTGCGCTGCAAGTTTACGATGACAGCAAACCTTTCAAACTACAGCGAGAGTAACCTGCCCGCTTGGCATATTAAACAATAATGTTAGTGTCGATTTTTACGTGCCATCGTTTGGATTGCTGATAAGAGCGCTTCCCTGACAGGACTCTCTTTGAGGTTTACAGAAAGCATAATAAAATATGTAAGTTACATTTCCACAAACAAAAGCTATAACATAAGTTATTTATAAGTGTGAGATACAAACAGTATCACGATAAATAAACCATAAAGGGTACCTGCAACATCCGTCTTAATGTAATTTGCCCCACAAAAGTGTTGAAACGAAGTCAAATTTAGTAGAGAAATCTGTCAGGAAGAGAGGAAAGTTGTAGAACACAAAACGGGAGAAATGGCTGCTGGCTGGTGGGAGCAAACGGAACGAGATGGAGTTTGGAGGCCCCGCAGAGACCCTCCGCCTGCCCACTCCCTGGCCGACGCCGGCCACCTGCACACGGGCCCTGCTCGCGTGCCCTCTGCACCCCACCAGCCTGTCCATGGGGAAAGGCCTCTCCCCCCCCATCCACTGACACCCTGTCCGAGCCCCAGCCCCGCGGCCAGCTTCCTGGGGCGGCTGCACCCTCAAGGCCAGGGTCTGACTCAGCACCCGGATCCTGGAGAGCATCGGTTCACGCCTTGGTTCACCATCACAGAGGGCGATGCGTGACACACAGGCTCTGCCCGCGGAGAGCTGGGGAGCAGGATGAATGTCTCGGATCCAAAGGCAACAAGAGCAGGGATGGAAATCCACTGGGGACGATGGGGACGGGGTTGCCGTGGAGGCCACAGCCGACCGGGCTCTTCAAGGGTGGAAAGGCACCAGCCATCAAGCTGAGGGACGTGCCGAACTGAGGACAGGCAAACCCCTGGGCACACTTCCGGCCTCTTCCTTCTCCCCAGATCTGACCTGGCTGGGTGCTTCCGTTTAATCCACAAACTTGATGATCCTCCAGCAGGCCCGGCGCTGGGCCCAGCCCCAGGAC